TGTATGTATGTACATATGTATGTTATATGTAAGTTATATGTATGTTATATGTATGTTATATGTATGTGTGTATGTATGTATGCGTGCATGTATTTGTATGTATGTGTGTGCGTATGTACGTATGTCGGTATGTATGTGTATGTATGTATGTAGTACGTATGTTTGTTTGTTTCTTTGTTTCTGGCTGTAAAAAAATCTGCCCGCCGGCATTACATTCTGGAGAGGGCTCGGCCGAAAAGGCATGATTCTGTGGATCACGAGACAGGGAGTTTAAGTTCAGGGTAGCGGTTTAGGGTTGTAGAGTTTCAGGGTTGTAGGAGTTTAGGGTTTTTTTGGAGGGGTTTAGGGCTTTTGGGGTTTAGACAAAAACTTTTCAATTCGGAAGCTTAGGAACGTTGGAGTGCATCGCCCGGTTCTTCTTGCAGAAGCCGCCGCCGGAACCCCTGGAGCCGGGAAGGCTGCAGAAATTCCTGGACCATTCCCAGCTCTTCGACCCGGCCGGGAAGAGGGAGGGGGAAGGGGAAAAGCGGGGCCCTGAAAGCCCTGAAAAAAAGCTTACAGTGGGCTTTCTTAGAATTTTTTTGGGGTTGGGGTTCGGGTCTTCGAACTCCTGCGCAAAACAAATGTAGCCCATTGCTAGGGCAGCGTCGGTCGCCATGGCCAGGTCCGCGCCAGGAGGTGTGGTGTCAGAGCGCGGAACCTGGGGCCCAACTTGTCGGGTTTAGGGTATTTAGGGTATTTAGGGTATTTAGGGTATTTAGGGTATTTAGGGTATTTAGGGTATTTAGGGTTTAGGGTTTAGGGTATTTAAGGCTTAGGGTATTTAGGGTATTTAGGGTTTAGGGTGACTCGATCAAGAGATGTCCAGAAGCAGGTAAAGACTCCCCCTAAACCCTAAACCCTAAACCCTAAACCCCTAAACCCTAAACCCTAAACCCTAAGGAGACCCAGGGCCTGACACCAAAGGAACCCTGGGGCCCAGATCTCAGGAGAAAGGGAGGACGAAGCTGCCGCACTCCCGGTGGGGGCCGCATGCATGCGGTGAGGATCCCTGGTCCGCGTTGGCCTTTTTTTGGTGGTTTGGGGGCTGCCTCTGTTGACACGGAGCCCCGAAGACCCTAAAGCTTAGGGCTTAAAGCCCTGTTAAACCCATAAAGGCCCTAAATCCCATTAAAACCCACAAGGCCCTAAACCCTAAACCCACAAAGGCCCTAAACCCCATTAGGCCCTAAAGCCTAAACCCAGAAGGCCTCAAGGCCTAAACCCTGAAGGCCCTGGACCCTAAACCCATAAGGCCTCAAAGCCTAAACCCACTAAACCCATAAGGAGGCTTTCTGCAGGGTATCCACTTCCCAAAAGCGGGGGCCGAGGATCCAGGATCTGGCGAACCACGTCGCAGACCCTGACGCTAAACCGAACCTCTTGGTTCACTTGAGCCTTGGCTGGGTTTTGAGGTTTTTGGGGGTGAGGGTTTGGGATTTGGGGTCGAGGGTTAGGGTTTGGGGTTTGGGGTTTATAGAAATTGTTAAGGGTTTGGGTGCCAATAAGTTTTGACCAAAAGTTTTGGGCGAAACGTCTTGGGCAGTTGTTTTTTGGAACTATACTTTGCAGGGGCTGGGGATGGGACAAGGCTGGGGAGCTGAGAAGGTTGGGCTGGGCTTGGGGCTGGGCTGGGCTCTGCTGGCTGGGGGTGGATTGGGCTGTTTAGGGTTTAGGGTTTTGGGTTTAGGGTTTAGGGTTTGTAGAAATTGTGAAGGGTTTGGGTGCCAATAACGTTTTGACCGAAACGTTTTGACCGAGTTTTGTTTTGGAACCACATTTTGAATCTGGCTGCTGGGCTGGCCTGTGGCTCGGCTGGGTGGCTGGCTGGGCTGGGCTGGGCTGGGCTGTGGCTGGGCTGGGCTGGCTGTGGGCTGGTTGGGCTGGGCTCGGCTTGGGTGGGCAACCCTGAAACGGAAATTTGTTTATTCGCAAATGAAACAGAAATTGGTTTATTCGAAAATGGAAAGGTGTGTGTCGACCGAAAAAATGAGCTTCCGGACGGCGAACAGCAACAAGCAATTTCTATTTATTTCTTTCTTGAGGGTTTAGGGTTTGGTGTTCGTTGTTTAGGATTTAGGTATTTGGGCTTAGAGCTCCACGGGACCGAAACCCCCCAAATCCTAAACCCTGAAGCCTATAGAGCCGCCTTCTGAATCGTCAGGAGCCCTAAACTTAGCCCTAAAACCCTAACCCCCAAACCCTAAACCCTGAACCCTAAACTCTTGAACCCCAAACCCTAAAATTTGAACCCTAAACCCCTAAACTCCTCAAGGCTCCTAAGCCCTACTAAGAGCCCCTTCTTCTGAATTCGCCTCAGGAACGGCTTGGAGTCCTTCCACTCCTTCCTTGGCCCCGCCGGGGAGCAGCTCCTGGAAGCCACCCGAAAGAGCCCGACTCTGGGCTCCCCTCTTTGTGGGTTTATAGGGGTTTGGCTCCTTTCTGTTTCTTTGTGAGTTTTTGCTGGGCTCCCTCTGTTTCTTGTGGGTTTTGAGGGTTTTTTTGGGGGTTTTAGGGGCTTGTAGGGGTTTTTAGGGGTTTCTAGGGTTTTTTGGGGGTTGAGGGGTTCATAGGGGTTTATAGGTGTTTATAGGGGTTTATAGGGGTTCATAGGGGTTTAGGGGTTTAGGAGTTCATAGGGTTTTTTAGGGGTTTAGGGGTTTAGGGGTTTAGGGTTGTGAGTAATATCGAGGCCCTCAACAAATCGTAGAGTGAGGTTGGGGCCGGGGGAGCCTAGCAAGGCTGCACCATATCCACACACACTCACAGGTATAAACGAATAGCTAGCTGTAGGACCGGTGAGTTAAGCCAAAGCTCCTTGTACCACGAGCCCAGGACAGCTCGGAAGTACGGCTGCCCCTAAGCGCCGGAAGGAAGGTCAGGTTCGCGAAGAAAGCCCAAAGCAGACCACGGTTCCTACTGCCCACTGGAGCTGGCTGAGCTCCAGAAAGACGACTCCACGAAGTTTGCGCGGATCCGGTGGTCTCAGGGAAAGCAGACGGAGATCCAAGGCCGAATCGGCTCTGAGATCGGATGGGATGCGCCGACCAAGAAAAGGAAGCCCCCGAACCTGTCATTCTGCGCGCCATGGCCATGCGCGATCACTCCTCTTTCCCGGCCAGTGATCCTCCGGTTGAATCGTCTTGCGTGTTGGTATGCAAGCTCTCGAGCACCCTCGAATCCAAATGTAGATCCACTGTGTCTCCGAGAGCACGTCTAGGAGCACGTCTAGGACCCTAGGAACTGTTGAACACCGAGACTGGGCGTGCGTGGGCCATGGACGTGCCGGTTGCGGCAGTGTTTGAGAACACTGCCGCGGCCGTGGCCTGTGTGGCCTGGGTAGCCCTGCTCGTGGTGCATTGGAATGTGACGAAGGCGCGTGCCCGTTGCCCTGCCTTCTGGTTCCCCCGGCACAGCGCTGCTTGCAGGCGGATGTGAAGTCCGGGCTGTGGCAGCTCCTCCACTTCGCGGAAGACTGGGCCGGAGCCTTGTGTGGATGCCTCTCTTGCAACAGACCCATCTCGCAGTTTGCCCAGGCTTCTGGGAAGGGCTGGGGTCTCAGCCCCATGGTGGCCCGCGTCGAGAAGGAGCACTGTTGAGCAAGGGATAGGCAACGGTCTCTCCAAGTAGCTGCGGCTGTAGCAGCTGAGATGATTTCCCCCTTGGATTGCATGCATGCGCAGTGCACGTTCTGTCAGTCGCTGACTTAGTGCTCTGCTCACACCACATTCCCGTCAGAATACGAAAGCCTCATGACCCGACACAGGGAAAAGACTAGTTGGGCAGCACGGCGAGGAGCTGATAGAGGTCCGAGTGAAGATCTTGATGTTCTTCAACCGGCTATGTGTTCACGTGGTTTTTATTATGATCTTTCTCCAGCTTCTGGAGTTCTTGCGGGCACCCAGCCTGCACGCGGCGACTTGGTTGCTGCAATCTGTGGCCGCATACCTGCCTCACGTCCTGATCATCGCAGCCCCCGGGCTTTTCTCATCTTCTCTTCTGCGCCCAATGCATCTGTTCTTCTTTGTGCTGGTCTTAACCACCGCGTTCGTGAGCGGCTCCGACAGCAAGGACGAGGTGTTTGGGCGGCTCGGCTTTTGCCTTTCAGCGCAAGTTGTTCAGGCATTCATTTTCCCTGTGGGTGCCGTGACGGTGGTGCAGTCCATCTCTTATGCTGCTGCCCACACATGGGTCATGGGGCAGGCGTTCGGAGCTGTAACCCTGTGGCTGGTATTATTCCACGTGTGCTTAAACGTTTTGGTCTCTTGCGCCCTCCCGGTAATTTTCGAGTTCGCTGTTCGGGAATGGATTGTGGCATCGTTTCAGTCGCAAGACTCGGACTCCTTGATTGCGGGCTTTCGGCAGATGCTGAAGGGGATCTGTGATGGAGAGCTGCTACTGGACGGCAACTTCCAGATCTGCGGCACAGCGCCGTGCCTGCAACGACTCCTGTCAAGCAGCGACGACTTTGCCGGACGCAGCTTTCCGGACCTTTTGGCCGATGATGACGCGAGGAAACTGCTCAATAACTTCCTGGCACCGGCCGCAGCCACGAGCGATGCGGACGAAGGCGCAGAGGGCGGCAAGCGCTTGCAATCCAGCGCAGGCGCAGCCCCGCGCTGCCTGCGCGTGCCTCTGCGGGCCCCTTCGGGCCAAGCGATTTCGGTGGATGTCTTCCACGTCCCGCTGCCTCCCAGTCTCTATGGCGAGAGCACCGCCTACCACCTGCCGCTTGGTTGCACCGTGTCGGATGTCTTGCAATCTGATGCCGTGAAGTGCTGAGGCTTGCCCTGAAACAGGATGTTGATTTCATGCCGCCCCCAGAAGCACCTCTCTTGCATTGTGT